CTAAACTTGAACTATGTAATCATTAAATATGGCTGTGTCCTTCAATTGCTTTTATTTGATAAATATTTGATATACTTTTATGATGGGATAATGCTTGTTAATGGGAGTAGATGAATCATACGGGGGAGAGGGCCAAGAGGCCATATAAGTTCACATCATGTTCATTCATAATGACTAGCTGGTTTTGCTAAGAGTTTATAGGATTGGTGTTGCCCTCCAAATTTTATTGGGCTCTTTTGGTCTCTGCTCTTGCTCCCTATTTGTTGTCCACCTTGGCTAAATGCTTACTGAGAAATTTGTTTTTTGCTTTTCAGGGTTTTGATTCTTCAACGTTTGCTTTTTGGTCAAAAAGTTCCGTGGACGTTGAACCAAGGCGTATCAGACTGCAGTCAAATAGTTATACCACCAATTCCATTTTGGATACAGTTACTGCTGCAACTGTACAGGTTTGAAATTGTTAGAGAACGATTCTTGATCATGTAATAAAATTTACAGTTCTACGAAACTATGTTGACTCTTCCACAAATTTTTGTAGCCCTGTCATATCAGAAAATAAAATAAAATAAAGTGAATTAAAAAAAATGAAATCAAATAGTAAAATGTTTTTGACTTTTTTGAACTGCAGTTTAAGGAGATGGGCGGAAGAATCCATCCTTCTGAAACTCCCAAGATTGCTGAACAACCAATTGAGAAGAGGAAAGGCTTTGCAGACTGGATGAATAAAATAAAGCCTGTTAATGAGGAGAAAGATCACTGGGTAAGATGGCATTCCTTTATTTCATTTGGATGGGTGGGTGCATGAAAATTTCTTCTTAGTTTTTACTGCATACCATTCATTTGTCATGTATGAACTGTCCAAAAATCTCAGAATAATCGAATCACATGAGAGATGTTATTGTAAGTTTACAGTATTTTAATTAATGGGCTTGAACATAAAATCACATCGTTCATCTCATATCCAACTTGAGAAACAGGATAAGAAATTTTTTTTCCGTCTTTTATGGTTGTAAGACACCTGTAGAAAGTAATTTAGAATTGCGCAAATTTATTTTATTTTATTTTATTTTTTATTATATTTTTTGCGGAAAATGATAAAAGATGGTTAATCCTTTTGAGAAGATAAGTGCTTTACACTAGTTATCATCTAAAATCATGCAATGATTGGCTGTTGACGCTGTAGCTTTTCAACTTAAACAGAAAGCTCTGATATATTTGTGAACAACGAAAATATTTATATGACACGAAAGTTGAGCAACAGCTATTTGAAGGAGGTTCAGATATGATACTGGTTTAGGAATGCATCTTGAAGACTTGAATGGAGACAATAATTGTTTAAAAAAAGGCCCTTTGTCCCTGTTTTTATTGTCATGCAAGAAAGCTAATGAAAATGGGGAGAGCCTTACCCTCTCCATTAAGGTAGGGTAGTAATATTGCCCTAATAAAAAATTAAAAAGAGAGAGCATGCTGCTCCTTTTTCTTTCTTTATTCATTTGCTCCTTTTCTTGCTTTTTATGATTGTTAAGTTACTCAGTTATTATATTCATCAAACTTGGTATAAATCCGTATCATTTGCATTAAAGTGCATTGTTTTATGCATATGTTTACTTTTTGGATCACTAGTCTTTTAAGTTTTAATTTGTCCAGACTTTCATTCATTTCCCGTTTAACTTAAATAGGTTCCTGATGAAGCTGTGACAAAATGCACAGGCTGCAGGACAGATTTTAACGCTTTTGTTCGCAAGGCATGTCCCTTCTTTTGTAGTTTATATCTATCTTCTCTATCTCTTTGTTTCTTTGCAGAAACAAATTCGTATCTTTATTCTGATATTCATTATACTTCATATAATCATGTATATGCCCCTTTTTCAGCATCACTGCAGGAATTGTGGAGATATTTTTTGTGACAAGTGCACTCAAGGCAGGACTGCTCTTACAGCTGATGAGAATTCTCCGGTTGTTAGAGTTTGTGACCGATGCTTGGTGTGTAGCAATGACTAATGTGCTTCTTGCTCGTCATTATTTTTTCATAGTTCTCTAAGAAGTCTTTGCAGACTAACTTATAGCTTGCCATTTCTTTATAGGCTGAAGTTTCTCGTAGGTTGAGCACTGCTAAAGATTCTGTCTGCGGATCAGCTGGATTGCTAAGTCATGAGGATCTTGCAAAAAAGCTTCAGGTGACGCTTAGTCTGAAGTTTCCTCCATACATTTTTTGTATTGTTTGTCTGTTGGCATTTATTGGTGATATAAGCCTTGTTCCCTCTTTGTCTTGGTCTTGCTGTTCCTCTCTGTCTCTCTCTCATACACACACATAATTTACTCTATTTCATGCTGTGACATTGTATGCTTACACATGCTATTGTCCTGGTAGAACGTCAAACTATAGAATGTTTGGAACAATAATATGTCAATTAATTCCTTGCTGATATAATAAGCTTTCGAATTGTAATATTTTTCGGCAGTTTAATGTCCTTCAAGTGTTATGCAGTAATATATGTACATTGCATTTATTAACATTCCCGAAAGTTCCATGATACTAGTCAACAGTGGGAGAATAGCTCTGAATTTCGATGCTGGGATTCAGGTCGTACTATGGATTAATCATTACAACCTCTCATTTGAAATGTGTGTGAATGAAAATATTTCTGTATTGGATTATTTCTGTTGATTCGATGTTTGATCAAGCAGCATTTGATCTAAAGTTTCATTTTCACTAATGTGACAAAATGCATCTTTAGATGGGGCTTTTGATTAGTATTTCCATGCTTTATGTAGTGTGGTTCTCAGAATAGAATGGAGTGGTTTTGTCCCACTGTTGATGTCTTTTGCTGGTTTTTACAGGAGGAGATGGAAAGAAACCGAAAGGCATCATCAGGTAGATTTTAGTGCTGAACCATGTAATCTTGTTCCAGTTTGTGGCTTTTACCTATATGTGGTGTGCATATGTTTGTGCTTTTGTTTGTAGAAAGCTGGTTTGATATTTCTGTGATCTCTTAAGGACTTGTTATGTCCAAATTCAATCCAATTTGTGCTTGTCTTTGGGTGTTTCTCTTCAAGGATGTAATCTCATTTATACTTCTTTCCTTCTCTCTCATCCCCTCCCCCCGTTCCCCACCCCCTCAAGACCATTTTTCTGGGTTTTGGAGTTTAGAAAGTGTGAGTTCATTCATGTGATTGTAGGTTTCCCCGTTTGGCCAGATTTCCCGACCTGCTGTTTTGGTAGTTTTTTTGGCTCCTTCATGTGTTTAATTGACAAATCATTCACCCCGTTTGATTCTCATTTTTATCAAAATACATTTTTCTCTCTTCTTTTTAACCACACATTCTTCATTAAAATAATATTACATGTAAATCGAAAACTTTTTTTTTTATTCTCCATCCACACATTCTCCATCAATCTACTATTTTAAAATTCATTTTCCCCTAAAAATGGGTGTCAAACACCCTCATTATGTTCAAGCAAAAAATTGAATGGCCTACCGATTATGGCGCTGTTCATTTACTCGTTATATCTTTCTTTGATTTAACATGGCTTCGGTGTTGATACTTATTGCATTGGAAATGAATTGGGTTGTATAGTAATCTATTCTACTTGTTACAGTTATGCGTTTGGTTTTATATTGCAAATGGACAGCCAGTTATGTTATTTTTCCTGAATCAGGCTCCAGGTCGGAGGGTTCTGGAAGGCGGATGAAAGAGGTTGCCTGCCCTACCTGTACAGTCCATTTGCAGGTTCAAATACTTCTGCTTACAATTTTGTAAATTATCATGTTGCATTCTTCACAATTTCATTGTGTAGAACTCAATTTGGCAGGTTCAAGTTCCCAGTTCAGGCTCCGAGACCATAGAGTGTGGGGTTTGCCAGCATCCTTTCCTTGTCAGTTCTCACTGATATATGCGTGATTGATTGTCACATTCCCCTTGACAGTCGATTTCTTTCATTTGTTGGAGTGCTCTGGCTAATAATTTGGGTTTGCTTGCAATCATCCTTTGGTTGATTCTTCTGACTTGATGACAATGAGCTGGTTTTGCATTAATATTCGTGTTTTGGAATTTATATAATTGCTTTATCAGTTATGCACAAAAGTTAATTGACATACAAATGTAAATCAGATGTTTGTGTTAATTAGGCCTTTCTACCTTACTACAACAATCGGATACAATGTTCATTTGCATCATTTTGTTATGTTATGCAATATTAGAAATTCACATTTTTGTTAAATTAGTAATTTCAAAATATTATTTCTTTAACTAGCTCGTTAATGTTATGTTTCAAATTTTTTAGTCGAAACCCTCCGTTTAATATAAATGAATCACTAGGTTTTTGTTACGTATTTGTCAATATTTAAACGCAGTGGGGGACTATTTTTGAGTTATTTGCAAGGAAAATGGCATCAAAATAGTATTTGAAGGTGATGATTTTTCCAAGCATAGACCAACTCTAACTAGCAAACATATTAATCATTTATCTAAATTTTAGTAAGAAATCTATGATCTTCTACGTGATGAAGAGAAAAAATATGCGAGTCTTTACTAATTAACAAAAGAATCATGTCTAAGGCGATGCAAGCGAAGACTCCTATTATAGTGTCTTGTGGGATTCGTCGATGGTCAACACTATGAATTAAACTTGAGTTTGTATGCATAATTGTTTAATTTACTTTCAAATTTCAAAGGAAGGAGCCAAGCCCTGTTTGTGGACACGAGTCAAGTCCACAAGTCAAGTTCGGCTACGGGTGCATATGGTATTTTGTTGAAAACCATATTCGATATGTTCGGATTTTCATAGCCCTTGTATTTGGACCCACCAACATGTAAATTTTGACCTATGCGTGAATAGACGTGTTGAAAATTTTAAAGACAATTTTATTTCAAGCAGAAAATATGTTAAAAGGCTTATTTATACTATTTAAAGTTTTCTAGATTTAGACACGAGAGTAGGTTTGCACATCATTAATGAGCTTGGTATTAATTTCACAGTATGGCATTCTGTTGGCTCAGAATGAAAGGCGCAATTTGCTCTGGGAAACAATGCCCATTCCTGATTACCTCTTTACCTAACATATCATGTGATCTAAATAGAACCCAGAAAATTTGACTTTTATACCAACAGTAGAAGCATTTTTGAGGTCTAAAGGTTGAAGAGAAGATGCCAACACAAGCATGATTTACGCATCCGACACTATATAGTAGAAGTCCAACACGACTAACACGCTCTTGAAAAAGGAAAATGCGAATAACTTCCATTAATGCAAAAAATCAAACAGGGTAACCGTCATTGATGAGAGAATAGAATAGAACATGTGAGGTAGTTCAACCCATATTTACATTGGAAATAACAAATCAAGTTCTTGATGAAAATCCACCAAAAAAACTATAAAATAGTAGTAGGAAAAAAAAAATGCTGAAACAGCAGGTGCATTAAAGCTGGTTTCTTGGTGAAGGGCTCTGCAGGGTATTGTTGAATAGCAATGCAGTTCTTCGGCTTAGAACTATTTCCCTTTTTGGTATTGTTAGGTGTTTCTCTTTCGTTTCTTGTTTGTATTGGTGAATCAGCGATAGAATTACCAGAAAACGACACAATTCCAGCAGTTTTTGTATTTGGGGATTCCATAGTTGATACTGGTAACAACAACAACCTCAATACAATATTCAAAGTCAATTATCCTCCGTATGGCCAAGATTTTATGGGAGGAAAGCCGACCGGAAGATTTTCCAATGGGAAAGTCCCCTCTGACATAATTGGTAATAATCATATTTCCCTCTCAAGGGCCTAACTCTAGTATATCTTGTAATGAACTGAAGGGAGTCAAGAAAACAGATACATGTTCCCAACCCAAAAATTACTGAAACAAGGCTTATTTTGTTTTTATCGTTGTTGCACGTGGCAAAATATGCTTCCCTTTTGGATTTGTTGTCAGAGAGGAGGGAGCGAATCCTCAACATCGTGGCCCGTAGCCACGTACTCTAATCCTCTGAAACCCCACCCAAGGCCATGTGTTAGCGTTTGCGCGCCACTATTTTGAGTAATTTCTCCTCGATGCTAAACTAAATTTCATTTAACGTCTTTATTTCAGCTGAAGAATTGGGAATTAAACCTCTTCTGCCTGCATACCTTGATCCATCACTGCAAGCTCAAGATCTCGTAACTGGTGTAAACTTTGCCTCTGGAGGCGCAGGATATGATCCTCTAACATCTGATCTTGCGGTACCTTTCTCACTTTATTCTTTGTAACCCGTTTTAATTATTGTTTATTCATTTTCCCGAACTTATGCTAATTTGTTAATCTTCTGGTGAAACGCAGTCTGTCTTGTCGTTGTCTGATCAGTTAGAAATGTTCAGAGAGTATATAATGAAACTTAAGGGGATTGTTGGAGAAGAACGCACATCCCAAATCTTAAGAAATAGTTTAGTTACAGTTGTTACCGGCAGCAATGATGTTACCAATACATATTTTGGTTCACCTCTGCGAAAATCCATTTATGATGTTCCTTCGTATGCTGATCTAATGGTCAGTTCTGCTTCCAGCTTTGTGCAGGTAAAATCTGGTGTCATTACACCTTCATGGCATGTTTAGTATGCAATACTCGACTAAACTGAACACTAAAGTGAATAAGATTTTAGTTTTTAGTTTTTTTCCCTCTCAAGTGCGGTCCATTATTTCTGTTACACGTTATCAAGCATGTCACAATGTGTTAAGCTCAAAAGTGCAGAAAACCAACACTTGTACATTTTTATTACATCATTTACAAGAGAATCTCCAGGAATTAGAACTTAGCACATAATAAGATTAATATTTTTACATATCAGAACTATTTCTATGCAGTACTCGAAGGGAAACATTAATTTGATTTCGTGCATTACATTTAAGGACTTGTATGGACTGGGCTTGCGTAGAATTGGTGTTTTCGGATTACCACCAATTGGATGTTTGCCATCACAAAGAACTTTGAAAGGAGGAGTGACAAGGAAATGTGTGGATTCTTATAATCAAATGTGTCAGTTATTCAACAAGAAGTTATCAAACGAGCTGAACTTGATTAGTAGCAGACTCCCTGAAGCACGGATGATCTACCTAGACATCTACAATCTTCCACTTGATGTCATCCACAACCCAGAAAAATATGGTAAAGCATCTATCTTTTTTCTTCAAAAAATATTTTTAAAAGCATGATTTTGATTGTTGGTTACCAATTACCATAGACTTTGGTGGTGTTGAGGTCTGTAGAAAAATAATGCAGTAAAAAAACGACGATTCGATATCGCAAGTCAAGACATTATGTTTTATCAAAGATACAAGAGGATAGTAATTAACAAGAACAGCACTCTATTTAAGAAGAGATTTCACCTGTATATTGTACCGAATTGTGGGTAAGGCCAACAGCTTTTCAATAATTTTAGACAATTTCTTAACTTTGTCCAAGTATTTTTTGCCACTAGCTTTCTTTCAATAAAAACATTTCTCTTTAGACAAATTTCTTTACAAGGTCTTTTTCATTAGCCTGACTTCAAAACTTTTCATTTAAAAAGAGTTATCTTCGTCTCATTTACCTTTATTAAAAAGGATATTTCTCCCTCTGTTCCCCCTTTCTCCACTCAATTTCACCTGTCTCACCTTTCCCCACTCCCTTCCTACATGAAGTCTAAAATGATGCTCATTTCTTATTAAGCACTACAACTTTTCATACATCATTGCATTCTTGATCAATGCATCTTCTTCCATTAGAAAATTTTAAATTGAATTTACCTTGACAGGATTTGGAATTTCGAATATCGGCTGCTGTGGTACAGGAACAATTGAAGTAGCATTTCTCTGTAAATGTACATGTTCAAATGTATCTGAGTATGTTTTTTGGGACAGTTTTCATCTCACAGAAAAAGCATACAGGCTTCTTGTTCATCAGATCCTCGAGCAACACATGAAGGATTTCATCTGTGAAAAGCCATTCTGCTGATTTCAGTGACTATCAACATTATTTACCCTTCCACTTGAAGTACAGCTGCCAACATTATTATTTGCCAACAACCTTACTATTGTTTTAATTTACTCATAACTATTATAGGAACAGGTATTCAAGATTTTCATTTAACGTTGTTGGCGTGATTGGCAATAGGATTGAAGAATGCCATTGCCATCGATTATTACCTACCAAACATGCAATGTGTTTTTATCATTTTGAAAGAGTACAAAATTCTTTCGATTTGTTTGGTCAGTACTATACATTTACTTGGTAGATTATGTACTAAGAAGTTGAATTTGCGTAATTTAGAGATATTGTATCTCGTGGCAAATGCAAGAATGGACAGGTCTTCATTGTTCATCACAAGTGTTGGCCTATTCTATTGTTACGTGATTCTTGTTCAACCACCTCGGATTTGTTTGGTAATTGAATATGAAAGACAAAAAAACATCTGAAAATGATATGGGATTTAACATAAGTGAGAATAATAAAGACGCAAACCAAACACGACGAACCATTTTGCTAAACAAGATGAGTGGATTCTTATTTCATTTTTTTTTACTCTTTCTTAAGAACACGAAATTAGTTATCGAGTCACTCTCATTGTGACTAAAGCCTGAAAAAAGTATTAGAGTATTTACAACACTAATTAGAGTTTTTTTTTAACTAATTTAGTAACTTAGAAATCTTTTATACAATACCACTGCTACCCTATTACCACGCTGCTCATTCTAATAGCCTAACATATTATTTCATCAAAATAGCAACACGAATATGACTCGTTATATACTTTTATAACAAGAAATGAAGTAATTTTGAGGTCTAAATGTTTCTTATCAATGTAACACATTTAACTGGCAGAAATTTTGAAGTGAAATTCTTTAGAGGTTGAAAGAAGATGTCAACACAAACATAATACACGCACCCAACAGTAGAAAACGCGAGTCCAACATGACTTACATACACTTATTAGGGAAAAAAGGAGACCACTAGACGATCCATAATTATACTTCTACTTTTTTGTCAAGTACGAGAAACTGAAGAACATGGATCAAGTGTGGTTGGTCCCATATCTTATCTACATTGGAAATAATAAATTCAATATGAAAATGCAACAAAATAAGTAAAATAAAAGAGGAAATAAATCAAAAAATGCTGCATAAAGATTCAACTTAGCCTCCATGTATCTTGATGAAGGCTCTGCAGGTTAGTGTTCAATAACGATGCAGTTCTTCTGCTTGAAACTGTTTCCCCTTTTAGTATTGTCAAGCGTTTCTCTTTCATTTCTTGTTTGTATTAGTGAAACTGTAATAGAATTACCAAAAAAAAAACACACACACACACACAATTCCAGCACTTTTTGTATTTGGAGATTCCATAGTTAATACTGGTAACAACAACTGTATCAACACAATAGCTAAAGTCAATTATGGACAAGATTTTATGGGAGGAAAGCCAACAGGAAGATTTTCCAATTGAAAAGTTCCCTCTGACTTAATTGGTAGTATGCATCGTTCTCTCTCGCGATCTAGTTGCTTTAAATCTTTCAGTATATCTAGCAATTACCTAAATGGAGTCAAGAAAAAGATATTCATGTTCGTAAGACCAAATTTATTGAAACAAGGCTTAATTTTGTGTCTGAGCATGATTTTCCTACCTCCAGAGCGAAAGGTATTCCTTTTGAGCTAGTTGTGGGTGAGAAGGGATTCAAATCCTTGACATCGTGCTTCATAGCCACGTACTCTAATCTTCTGAGCTACTGAACCCAACCTGTCTCCAATGCATCTGTTCAAATCGAAGTACTGTAAGAAAAAGGAACCTTTCATTCCCCAGCCATGCGTGCATCTGTGCATGCCTCTGTTTGGAGTCATTTCTCCTCGATGCTGAACTAAATTTATTATTGTCTTTATTTCGGCTGAAGAAATGGGAATTAAAGATCTTTTGCCCGCATACCTCAATCCATCTCTGCAAACTCAAGATCTCGTAACAGGCGTAAATTTTGCATCTGGGGGAGCAAGATATGATCCTCTAAAGTCTGATATTGCAGTATACATCTGACATTATTTTTTGAAATCTGTTTCAATTTTTACTTATTCATTGTTCCAAACTTATGCTGTTTTGTTAACTTCATGTGAAATGCAGTTGGTCTTTTCGTTATCAGATCAGTTAACAATGTTCAAGGAGTATATAATGAAGCTTAAGGAGGTTGTTGGAGAAGAACGAATTTCCAAAATCCTAAGAGAAAGTCTAGTTATAGTGGCTACGGGAGAAATGATATTATCAATACATATTTTAGCACTCCTCTGTGAAAATTCGTTTACGACATTCCTTCATATGCTGATCTAATGGTCAGTTCTGCTTCCAGCTTTAACCTGCAATGCATGTTTGCTAGTTGGTAAACAGTATAGGATAAGATTATAATACTAATTTGCTTTTTGTGCATTACGTTCAAAGGACTTGTACAAATTGACATAGAATTGGTGTTTCCGGTTTACCACTTGGATGTGTTCCATCACAGAGAACTTTGAAAGGAGGAGAAATAAGAAAATGTGTAGATTCTTATAATCAAGTATCACAGTTATTCAACAAGAAGCTATCAGATGAGTTGAACTTGGTTAACAGAAAGGAATGATAATTAGAAGAAAAACAATATATTCAAGGAAAATTTTGCTACTAGCATTCTTGCAATAATAATAGCTTCTCTTTAGTACAAGCCTGACTATGAAACTTCAAGTTCAAAAAGCCTTCTCTTCGTCTCAATTGTCTAGTTTACCTTGATTAAGAAGGGTAGTTCTCCCTCTACCCTTTCTCCACCCCATTTTTCCTCGTCTCCCCTCTCCCGCCCAATAAAGTCTGACATAATACTCATATCATATTAAGCTCATCATCTTTTCATATAATTAAATTCTTAAGAAATGGATATTCAGCCATTCTAAATGTTTAAACTGAATTTACAATGACAGGATTTGGAATTTCGAATATCGGGTGCTGTGGCATAGGAACAATAGAAGTAGCATTTCTCTGTTAATGTACATGTTCAAATGTATCTGAGTATGTTTTCTGGGACAGTTTTCATCTCACAGAAAAAGCGTACAGGCCTTCTTGTTCTTCAGATCCTCGAGCAATACATGAAGGATTTCATCTGTGTAAAGCCATTCTGCTGATTTCAGTAACTATCAGCATTATTTGCCCTTCTTCTTGAAGTACAGCTGCCAAGTATTACCAGCCAAACATGCACAATATGTTTTCATCATTTGAAAGAGTAACAAAATTCTTAAATGTTTGGTCAGTACTGTTCATGTACTTGGACGATTATGTATAAGTTGCTAAGAAGTTGAATTTGTGTAATTTAGAGATAATGTATCTCGTGGCAAATGCAAGAATGAACAGATCTTCATTGTTCATCACAATTGTTGGCCTAATGAACAGATATTCATTGTTCGTCACAATTGTTGGCCTATTCCATTGTTATGTGATTCTTATTTAACCACCTCATCTTTGTTTGGTAATTGAATATGAAAGACAAAAAAGATAGGAAAATGATATGGGAGTTAACATAAGTGAGAATAATACAGATGCAAACCGAACATAACGAACCATTTCGCTAAACAAGATGAGTGGATTTATTATCATTTTTTTCTTTTTTCTTAAGAACACAAGATTAGTTAACAAGAATATTAGATTTATATGGTGAAGAATAGTCAGCTTGCTACATTTATTTATTTATTTTTTTTATTTTTTATTTTTTTTAAATGACGGGGGAATCCGTAGCCGCTACCCTTTGGGTGCGCACTAGGTAAATCCTCGCGCTGATGCAATAGCCTACAAATCACGTCAGTCAGGTACACCGCACTAAATAAACCCCGTGCGATAGGCTCGACCGAGAAAGTGTTGGTAGGAGGAATCGAACTCGTGACTAAAGGTCTCCACACTCACCTACTCCACCGACTCGGCCACCCGATGAGGGGCTAGTAAGCTTGCTAGTTTTTATCTTATATTGAGACATCAAACGAAGAAAATTTCTATTTCACACTCATTGAAGATTTTATCTTCCATTAAAGTAGCGGGACAACTCGACCAAATTTGAAGAGTTGGGGTGTAACCACCTTTCCAAATGGTAGCTTCATTAAGAGTATTGTTTGGTTTGCATAGTGGCTGTAAGAATTGTTGACATCTGGCCTATTAGGTCATTATGAATATGAAAGTATACAGAGAAACAACCTAGACAAGGGATGAAGAGTCACACGCATTGCAACTAAAGCCTGGAAAAGGTATTAGAGTATTTACAGCACTAATTAGAGTTTTCCATAGATATATAAATCCCCGATTCTATGGAAATCAAAAAATTTTCAACCACTCATTTAAAAAAAAAAAAAATACTATTCATCTCATTATAATGCCAAATAATGGAGCTTAAACACACCCTAAATCTATGCGAATTTTAATGAAAAACTCTAACTAGTGCTATAAATACTCTAATAAAAGGAAGATTGAGAAATTATGGGGAAAAGGTATTTTTATCCAACCTTTTCAAATATTTGCTAATTTCCCCCAATTTAATAAATTCGAGATGAAAATGCAACGAAATAAGTAAAATAAAAATGGAAATAAAGCCGAAAAAATGGTGTATAAAGATACAACTTAGCCTCCATGTATCCTGGTGACGGGCTCTGCAGGTTAGTGTCCAGTAACAATGCAGTTCTTCTGCTTGAAACTGTTTCCCCTTTTAATATTGTCAAGCGTTTCTCTTTCATTTCTTGTTTGTATCAGTGAATCTGTAATAGAATTACCAAAAAACAACACAATTCCAGCACTTTTTGTATTTGGAGATTCCATTGTTGATACTGGCAACAACAACTGCATTAACACAATAGCTAAAGTCAATTATCCTCCATATGGACAAGATTTTATGGGAGGAAAGCCAACAGGAAGATTTTCCAATGGAAAAGTCCCTCTTGACTTAATTGGTAATGTGCATCGTTCTCTCTCACATTCTAGTTGCTTCAAATCTTCCGGTATATCTAGCAATTACCTAAATGGAGTCAAGAAAAACAGATTCATGTCCCTAACACCAAATTTATTGAAACAAGGCTTAATTTTGTGTGTAAGCATGATTTTCCTAGTAAGCATGATTTTCCTATCTCCAGAGGGAAAGGTAGTCCCTTTTGAGCTAGTTGTGGGTGTGGAGGGATTCAAATCCTTGACTTTGTGGTTCATAGCCACATACTCTAATCTTCTGAGCTACAGGCCCCAACCAGTCTCCATTGTATCTATTCAAATCGAAGTACTGTAAGAAAAAGGAACCTTTCATTCCCCAGCCATGCGTGCATCTGTGCATGCCTCTGTTTGGAGTCATTTCTCCTTGATGCGAAACTAAATTTATTATTGTCTTTATTTCAGCTGAAGAATTGGGAATTAAAGCTCTTTTGCCTGCATACCTCGATCCATCTCTACAAACTCAGGATCTCTTAACAGGCGTAAATTTTGCATCCGGAGGCGCAGGATACGATCCTCTAACATCTGATGTGGCAGTATAAATCTTACATTATTTTTTGAAATCTATTTCAATTTTTACTAATCATTGTTCCAAACTTTTGCTATATTGTTAACTTCTGGTGAAATGCAGTTGGTGTTTTCGTTATCAGATCAGTTAGCAATGTTCAAAGAGTATATAATGAAGCTTAAAAGGGCAGTTGGAGAAGAACAAACGTCCAAAATCCTAAGAGAAAGTCTAGTTATACTGGCTGTGGGCAGCAATGACATTACCAATACATATTTTAGCACTCCTCTGCGAAAATTCGTTTATGATATTCCTTCATATGCCGATCTAATGGTCAGTTATGCTTCCAGCTTTGTACAGGTAAAATCTGGCGGCTTTAAATCTGCAATCCATGTTTGCTAGTTGGTAAACCGTATAGATAATATTATAATACTAATTTGCTTTTTGTGCATTATGTTCAAAGGACTTGTACAAACTGGGGTCACATAGAATTGGTGTTCTTGGTTTACCACCACTTGGATGTGTGCCATCACAGAGAACTTTGAAAGGAGGAGTGTCAAGAAAATGTGTAGACTCTTATAATCAAGTGTCACAATTATTCAACAAGAAGCTATCAGACGAGTTGAACTTGGTTAACAGAAAAATCCCAGAAGCACGGATTAACTACCTCGATATGTACTATCTTCTACTTGATCTCATCCACCACCCGGAAAAATATGGTATACCATCCAACTTTTTCCTTCAAGAAATTTTTAGCATATAATCTTGATTGATTTGCCGTAAAATAATGCAAAAATGTTGATTAGATCACACGAATCAAGACGTTAACTTTATGGAAGATCTGAAGGGATGGTAATTAAGAAGAAAAACAATATATTCAAGCAAAGATTTTTCCTCTACATCATATTGAATCATGAATAAAGCCAACAGCTCTTCAGTAATAAGGCTACTTGCCAACTTATTGACTTTGTCGAATATTAAGTATTTTTTTGCTGCTAGCAATCTTGCGATAATGATAGCTTCTCTTTAATACTAGCCTGACTATGAAACTTTTCGTGTAAAAAAACCTTCTCTTCATTTCAATTGTCTAGTTTACCTTTATTAAGAAGAATATTTCTCCCAATACCCTTACTCCCCCCCCCCCCCCCCACCCCCCAATTTTTCCTCGTCTCCTCTCTCCCTACCACATAAAGTCTGACATAATACTAGATATTTTTAAGCACATCGTCTTTTCTTATATTTACATTCTTAAGAAATGGATGTTCTGCTATTCTAAATGTTTAAACTGAATTTACAATGACAGGATTTGGAATTTCGAATATCGGGTGCTGTGGCACAGGAACGATAGAAGTAGCATTTCTCTGTAAATATACGTGTTCAAATGTATCTGAGTATGTTTTCTGGGACAGTTTTCATCTCACAGAAAAAGCATACAGGCTTCTTGTCCGTCAGATCCTGAAGCAATATATGAAAGATTTCATCTGTGAAAAGCCATTCTGCTGATTTCATTGACAAAGAACATAATTTGCCATTCCACCACTTGAAGTACAGATGCCAGCATTATTCTTCGTCTTGCTGTAAATGACACTACTCATCCTAATAAAATTTAAGTTTTAAGTTATGAATAAGTTGCTAAGAAGTTGAATATGTGTAATGTAGAAATTATAATATGTCATGGCAAGAGCAAGAATGAATTAATCTTCATGATCATGCTAAGTGTTGGCTTATTGTTGCGTGATTCTTGTTCAACCACCTCATATTTGTTTGGTAATTGAATTTGAAAGACAAAAAAGAGATAAACTGATATGGTATTTAACATGAGAATAATACAAATAAAAACCAAACAGGATGAGCCATTTCGCTAAACAAGAAGAGTGGATTTTCAATTCATAGTTTTTTTCTTCTTTTTTCTTAAGAACATATGATTACTTAATGAGAATATTAGTTGGCTAAGGAGAAGAATAGTGTTCTATTTAGTTTTTAAATTTTGTTCTGACCGCAAATGAATAATATGTCTATTTCACACTCACTGAAAAGAGCATCTTCTATTGAAGCAGAGAGAAAACTCTGACCAAATTTAATAGTCACTCCCCCTGTGCCTAAAGCCACGAAGAATGAGAAATTATGAGAAAAAGGGATTTTTATCCAACGTCTTCATGGTTAACTGTTCACGAAATTATTCTTTCGATTTAAATAATTGCAAGTGTACAGTTCGTTAACAAATAATAAAGTAGATTCTAGAGTTCGAATATCGTCCCACAGATGTTGAGTAGCCTAATTTTATTTAATTTGGCCTTAACCGAAACTAAATTATCACGAGTGGTTTTATAACTTAATTACTCCCTGAACTAAGCTAATTATACATGTAATGAACAAAATGCAATGTGATGTTTAAATGAGCTAGAATACTATTTAATGTTGAGAATGCAATCTAATTTATTCAGTGATTGTATAACGCACTAGGATCACAAATTTCCAAATAATATTCAATTTAACCCTGATTTCACAAATTGACACCACAATGAAATTTTGAAGAATCAATGCTCCTAAATCTATCCAACACTTTCTCTCGAGCAGCGTTGAAATTATTCTCATATACCATCAGCTTATATTTCTACGACCGATGTAAATGTACAAGAATGCAATGGTTTTGTGAGCACTTAGAGATTCACGCAGCGCATAACGGTATATCTCTATTCCCTATCGGACCCTACGATGATCTATACTGTGGCGAACCTATTTCCCTTCTCTCGAATGCAAGAAACAAGTCACCCAAACTCACACAATTACGAGCCCTTAATTGCGGAAGAAATTAAATGCATATAAACCATTCAAAATAATCAACCGTGGTTTAATGTTAAAAATATGAAATAAGGAATTAAAGATCACATTACAAGGTTCATCGATTTTCTAGTACATAAATTTCTAGCCTAAAATGGAGAAATTAACAAAATACATGATATTTGGAAGAAATAACATCACTGGACCAATAAATCGAGTGAAATTCCGTCGATCTCCGTGAAATCCTTCGTTGTTGTGGCTGCAAATTTACTCCAAGAGGTGTTTTTTCTTCTCAATGCATTCCCCCTTTAATTTGACGACCCTAGGGTTTTTTATCTGTGCCACGAATTGTTTCCAAAGGAATTTTAATCAAATAAGGAAATCAGATTTTTCCTGCCGAGTTGTACCCGACTACATAGCACAATTCAATGGGACTGCATAGTTCAATTGATTTTGGCCCTGAAAATTGCTGAATATAGGTATGCGACTGCATGGAGTTTTATACTATGTGACTACATAGTATTGAAAACCTCCCAAAAGTTACAATTTAGTCCCTGAACTCCAATTTCTCGTTTTTAACCTTTATTTTCATTTCTTCTTCTTCTTCCAATACTCCATGTTCTCACCAAAATGATCTTTAACTCTTTCACATCCATGTTTATGCTTTTCGGTCATCTTTTGTCTATTTGTATTTTGGTCATTGAACTTTGATTTTCTTCCATTTTGGCCTTTTTCCTCATATTTTCTATTGAATTCCATCATATCCATCAAGATAGTCATACAAAACAAGATTTAATAGAATTAGGTCATATTCCACTATATTTATTAGGAAATAGTCGTGTTTTATGGCTTGAATAAGTGTGTAAAAACACACTTATCAAACCCCCAAAACTTGAACTATTGTTTGTTCTCAAACAAAATAATGACTTAACTTTACACAAAACATGGCTTGATCACTTGCCGAGTCTCAGGATTGGAATTCAATAATTAATATAAAGAACAGTTCAATAGTGCAAGAATAAAATCAACCCTTACCTGTTAAATGCATACTCAAAGTGTGTGTGTGAACTCATTCTAACATATTAAGCTCATGATTAGTTAACCCCAACCCAAAGTAATCTGATATATCCTCACCTTGCTCGAGAGATACACACCACCAAACTTAGTCTTTTCACTCAATTATCTCGGAATGTGTTCTAAAGTTAAGAGTTTAAGTATTTACGATCCTTACCCTCTCTTAGTTTAGATAGATCTCACGATTGTAGGTTCACAGGTCAACAAGTAAAGGCTCTCCTGGTTTTGATTGCTTTGACACTTGAGATTTTAAGTTACTAGTCTCGTATTAAAGGTGTAGTTTCATTAACCAAATGTCCAAGGGCTTTCTTCATTTTTATTTATTTATTTATTTATTTATTGGTTATCTTCTCATTTGCTTTCTACATAACCCCTATAATGAGCTTTAGACCAATGACTTCCAAATCAGTTGATTTTAGGACATCAGGTTTTAGACTCTTGCAGACTTATTCACTCGAGTTATAAAGACTCGATCAGATGACTGTTTATTAACTTCTCTTCCTCTTGCTTTCTCTATGACTCCTTTAGTGAGCTTTGGGCTGGCAAATCCCAAGCCAGTTGGCCTTAGGACACCAAGTTTTAAAGAAGTACCCTTACAGACTTACTTGCTCGAGTCATAAAGGCTTGGAAAGAAGTATTATTTTTGCACAAATTAGTTTATACCCCTTTTTGTTTTTTTAGACATTCAGTTTCCAAAAACAACCCCCAACTTAAGACTTTCACCTAATTTTCACCTTATTAGTTTAGGCAATCCACACAATATAATTTCTTGTATGGAGCCTCTACATATCTCTAAGTTTCCCTATAATTGATCAACCATCTCTAAACATTCCTGAAATGGTTTATTGGTCAACACAATAGAGGTTTTTCTCGATTTCTCCTACTTCATTCAAGAACCCAATCACTTACCTAACATGTAAAGCATGAGCGTGTGCATAAGGATTGTCAAGTACCACGTCAACAAATTCTGGTTAATCAATTTCTGCACCATATCATAGTTCTTAATATCTATTCCAATAATCTCATCATAGTCAGCAAGGCTATCAAGTCTACACAAGTACATAAAAAAAGAAATACAGTAAAATGAAGAACATATGCGGATTTTTTTTAACACTCAACAAGCACACAAAATGCAACAATTAAGTAAATGTATTGATGAAATATGAATAATACAAGAAAAACGGATGCCAAAATCGAGATGCCACATTTATATCAAATTATGTCACCTCCCCCAAACTTATGCATTTTATTGTCCTCAATGTGAAAAGTAGAAGGTTAAGATGCATGATAAAGAACAAGTACAAAGTAAAAGCACAAAACAGGGTATACGAGACTCCCTGATCAATATGGAGGTGATGGTGGAAAGCTGGGATTTGCTGTGCCATCTCTTGTTGGTGGAGGAGATCGTGAGATGGCACAGCAAATCGTCCCAAAAGCTATTGCATCATCCCAGACTGTTGAGCCAGCTCTATCTGGATGACTCTTATCATATTACTTTGTTCCCTAACCTCGACTTGCTATTACCTGCGGCACTTGTTCTCCAACTTTTCTTGATACTTTTCCCTAGTTCAGTCCTAAGCCTCCAGTGCAGTGCGCTTGATGAAAGGGCTAGTTTTATTGGGTGCTTCTTCTAATGGGATGGTGACACCAGCAACCCTGCAATCCCCGCTAATTAGGCTCAGGAATATCAGTGTCACCCCGTGTTCCAATTGTGTGTATTTGATTATAGATGTAAGTGGTCAGATCGATTTTATTTCCCCAAACCGGATGATATATGAACCCTGACTTCAGATTAGTAAATGTTGACCTATGTGAGACTGGTTCAATATTGTGACATATGAATAGCCACATGATTGCTATAGATGGCGTAAGCTCGATCTGGTGCCAATCTGTTGTTGGGAGGGGCCATGCATTTTCTCGTCCCAAGAGTACTTCGGCTACCTCATCCCAATTGAAATTACTTGAGATGGGGACCACACTGTTCCAACTCAGCTGATAATAGTCATGGACGACCTCTGGAGAGAACACGATCCATTTATCCCTAACCTACGTCTGATGCAAATGTTCCATCCCAGGAGTATTGATCTCGGTGTTGAAGTTTGCATAGAACTCCTTGACTAAATTTTCATAGACTGGGTGAGGTCGTTCCCCCACTTTCTCCCATCCAAAAATTTGGACCAAATTGACTATTTCAAAATCGGGAAAGTCATCCAGCTTATCGAGCCTTTCTGGAAGTGTTGCCTAATGATTAACAATGTTCGAGAAGCGAGTTGCAGTCTCGAGGGCGAGAAATCTCCTTACGCCCCCTTCGGGCTCTCTGGTGTGTGTGGTGCCCAACAAGGATCCCACTTTTCCCTTTTCCTTGGATGATCTTTTTGGCGTCAACCTACAAAGGTATATAGAAGCGTATTAGACCACCAAGTACAAATGAATAGTGAAGAGAAATGAAGGAATATATAAAACACAACCTCCCCAAACTTACTTCAAGGTGCACGTGTACAAAGTTGGTGTGCAAAATGCATCATATATGTCCCAAAATAGAGTTTGTGTCACGAAAATGTCAAACACCAACAACGCTTAGCTCAAACGTGCAATTTGTTCAATTAAGATCCATGGCCGACCTAAGACTTTCACCCCTCGGCATTGTCGAGAAATATCGAATTTTTTTCAAGCGATCTCTAGGCATATGAAAGTATTTAATTTACTCTATCACATATTCAAATCTCGGGTCATTTGGATGTCGTTTGGGTTGTCAACTTATAGCGCCAAGTAGGTGACATAAGGTGTCGTGATTTGGTCATGCTATGCCCACGTGTGTGCATTTCGGGGTTTTGTGCTTTTCGACCTAATTTTCCTAGAAATCTATCATAACATTCAATACTATATCAATGACATAATACCACCATTGCAACCTTCACAAAATTTCACAAAACCCGTCACTTAGGACCTATATCAAACACCTTGTGTTCATAATTGGAATTCTTAACTTTGGCAACTGATAATTTATATTCTAGCTCCCTTTTTTACACAAAACAATCACAATCACAATCACAACAACAATACCCAATCTCCATCAAATACCCAAAAATAAAACAAAATATCCCTAATTTCGAAATTGATAGATTAGAAAACTTACCTTGCAAAGTTGTAGAGATTTGGAATAATGAATAATACCACCAAGTGAATGCAAGATGATATTGTGATGTGAGTTATGAATTTGTGGTCTTTGTGATGAGTTGTGGGTATGGTCTTGGAGGCCGTGAGTTGAGAGGTTTGGAAGGAAGATAGCTGTGTATAGTTTGTGGGTTGTGTTTCATGTTTTTTTTTAAACTATTTTTTTTTTCTTTTACTCTATGCGACCGCATAGAGTAGAGGCATGCGGTCGCATGGAGTACTTGGTCAGGGCTTTAGGCCCTGAACCAAGGTATGCGACTATAATGCACCGTGGCCTATACGGTCGCATAGATCACGTGCATTGGCACCTCTTTTTTGGATAGAACTTTGTGCCCCCATATTGAAATTGCTATGATGAGTGTGTGCACGTGAAAGTTAGTAAAAACTTTTTTCCCGTTTTCCAAAATATCTTGAAACTCGATTTTCAAATTAAGACTCGACTAGGCCCTACAACATCCCTAAAATTGTAAAAACATACCTTAGACCATATGTGTTGCGTGTGGGCTGTGAATTAGTTACAAAATCGAATTTATAATTGAATTCACACCTTGATCCCGAAAAATTTTAAAAACCCTAATTTGGCCTTGAAATGTGTGAAACTCCTACCCAACCGCCAAAACACAAAATTGAACCTGACTTGCGCTCAATGCATTGAGACGTGTGGAGCATGCTTTCACTCTATGTGACCTATATGGACGACCAATGATCTATAATTACAAACATGCTAAAACATGAAAATTTCCTAATCTAATGCGAAAAAAAAATACAAACAAACAAACAAATTAAACTAAAAGGATACAATGATTTGCCTTCCATTCAACGCTAGTTTATAGTCGATAACTCGACTTTTCCATGTCTGCTTCACTTTGGTGTCTCTAGCTGAATGGTGGACTTTTGCTTGGAGAAGCCGTCACTCCACTAATGCTTTAACCTTTGCCCATTAACTATGAAGGTACCCTTGGTTTCATGGCTGACCTCTGTAGCTCCATATGGTGAGACTCTTGTGATAGTGTAAGGGCCCGACCACCTTGATCTCAGTTTTCTCGGGAAGATCTTGAGTCTCGAGTTGTATAAAAGAACTTTCTGCCCCACCTCAAAATTTTTTACTCTGAATGTGCAGATCATGCCACTTTTTGGTATGTTCCTTGTAAAGCCTTGAGTTTTTCAAATTCTTTCATCTTGAATTCATCTAACTAATTGAGTTGCAGCAAATGCTTTTCACCAGCGGCCTTCAAATCCATGTTCAACCGTTTCATAACCCAGTATGCATGATGTTCCAACTTAAGGTAGGTAGCACCCTTTTCCAAAAACTAAGTGGTATGGAGCCAATTGACATCTTGAATGGTGTTCTGTAGGCCCACAGTGCATCATCTAAATTCTTAGACCAATCTTTCTGAGATGAACTCACTGTGACCTCAAGTATTCTCTTCAATTGCCTATGGGGTCTCTACCCGGTGTTTAATGCCATATTTACTCAACAACTATTCAAACGACACTTACAAAAGTGCTTGCCCCCCTCACTGATTATAGCTCTTGGTGTGTCATAGCGGGTGAAAATACTTTTTCAAGAATCCAATCACCATTTTAGCATCATTAGTAGGCAATGCCATTGCTACCACACACTTAGATACGTAATCAACGGCTACTAAGATATATTGATTTGAGTACGATGAGAAAAAATGTCTCATAAAGTCAATCCCCCAGACGTCAAATATCTCCACTTCCAAGATGCTGTTTAATGACATTTCATTCCTCCTCGAGATATTTTCAGTACATTGACATCTATCACATCTCTTGACAAACTCAAAGGCATCCCTGAACAGTGTAGGCGAGTAGAACCCCGATTGAAGAATCTTCGCAGCGCTCTTTAAAGCTCCAAAGTGTCTCGCATAAGCAGATGAATGGCAGTGTTCTAGAATTTTGGGCACTTCTTCTTTAGGCACACATCTCCTTATAATTTGATCAACCCATCGCCTATGAAAAATAGGATCTTCCTAAAAATATACTTCAATTCAGCAAATTTTTTTTTCTCTGATGGATTGAGTAGTCCGGTGGTGGAATGGACTTGGCCAAGTAGTTAACAATATCGGTATACCAATGTGCTTCTTCCACATTGAACATCTACTCGTCTAGGAAAATTTCATTGATATCCACTGATTTTCCTGTCTCTTCATGCTCTAATCGGGAAAGGGGATTTGCCAAACATTTTCACCGTCTTTTTTGTCCCTGATTTCAATGTCAAATTCTTGCAGTAGTTATATCCAGCAGATCAATCTCGGTTTAGCATCTTTCTTTGTTATCAAATATTTCAGTGCAGCATGATCTGTGTGGATAATAACTTTAGACCTTACAAAATATGACCTAAATTTGTCGAACGCATAAACCACTGCCAATAGCTCATTTTCAGTGGTTGCATAGTTGATTTGGGTATCATTCAGAGTTTTGCTCGCATAGTAGATGACATGAAAAACCTTGTTTCTTCGTTGTTCCAATACTGTACCCAAGACATGATCACTGGCATCACACATTAGTTCAAAAGGCAATTCCAAGTCTGGTGCCACAATTACTGGTGCTCAGGTGAGTTTCTCCTTCAAGATAGTGAAAGCAATCAAGTACTCTTCAATAAACTCAAACGACCCATCCTTCATCAAAAGGTTGCATAGTAGCTTAGTGATTTTCGAAAAGTCCTTGATAAATCTCCTGTAAAACCCTGCATGTCCCAAGAAATTGCGAACCCCTTTAACTGATGTTGATGGGGATAACTTTTCAATCACCTGAATTTTTACTATATCCACCTCAATTCCTTTAGCTGATACTCGATGTCCTAACACAATCCCTTTCTGCACCATAAAATAACATTTTTCCCGGTTTAAGACCAGATTTGTCTCCTTGCATCTCTGTAAAACTAGACTTAGGTGCTCCAAGCATTCATCAAATGAAGATCCAAAAATTGAAAAGTCATTCATGAATACTTCTATGAATCTCTCAACCATATCGGAGAATATCGCCATCATACAAATCTGAAATGTAGCAAGAGCGTTACAAAGACCAAAGGGCGTCCTACAGTAGGCGAAAGTGTTGTAGGGACAAGTGAAAGTGGTCTTCTCTTGGTCATCTGGCGCAACTGGTATCTGATTGTAGCTTAAGTACCCAGCCAGGAAGCAATAGTATGAATGCCCTGTCAATCTTTCCAGGATTTCATCAATAAAGGAGAGTGGGAAGTGATCATTCCTTGTAGCTGCATTGAGTTTGCGATAGTCAACACAAACTCTCCATCATGTCACTATTCTAGTTGCGATAAGTTCATTCTTCTCGTTTGGCACAACTGTGATTTCACCCTTCTTTGGTACAACCTGAACTGGGCTGATCCATGCATTATCTGATATCGGGTAGATAATTCCTGCACCTCGAAGCTTGAATACCTCTGCCCTAACCACTTCTTTTATATTTGGATTCAGTCTTCTCTGGCCCTCTATACTTGGCTTACAGTTCTCCTCCATAAGAATCTTGCGCATACACAGTAAAGGGCTGATCCCTTTAATATCTGCTATCCTCCATCCAATCGCCGTCTTATTCTCTCTAAGTACCCTAAGCAATTTTTCTTCTTCCACCTCACTGACTGTGTTTGAAAAAATGATTGGGAGTGTTCATGACTTTCCCAAATAGGCATATATAAGATGTGGTGGCAATTACTTGAGTTTCAATACAGGCAACTATTGAATAGAAGGTAGTGGCTTTGTGGTTCCTATTCCAAGTTCCTCGAAGTGCCTTTTTAATATGTATGGTGGGTTGGTCTCCAAAAACCTTGCACATGTCTCATTCTCAAGAGAATTTGACTGAGTTGATTGGAAATGTGTAATATACGCCTCATATGCATCAGATAGGTTGTGAAGAAAGAACATCTCCTGTACCACCTTATCAATAACATCAATTTAGAAATAGCTATCTAATTCTGTATGAAGTTTCATAGCCTTAGAAACATTGAATGATATCTGCTCCTCCCCCAATCTTAAAATCAACTGCCCCTTCTGAACATCAATTAAAGCTCTCCATGTTGTTAAGAACGGTTTGCCAAGTATAAATAGGATGTCTTTGTCTTCTTCCATATCCAAAATGAGGAAATTCGCAGGAAATATAAAATTTTCTATTTTGATGAGTACGTCCTCTATTATTCCTATTAGATGTGTCAATGATCTGTCAGCCAATTGCAGCGTCACTGTTGTTGCTTTTGCCTCTCTTAATCCAAGTTTCCTAAAAAGAGATAGAGACATCAAATTAATACTTGCAACAAGATCACATAAAGCTTTATTAAAGTAAACTTCACTAATAGTGCAAGGAACAATAAAACTCTTTGGATCTTTCAATTTTGATGGGAGCTTCTTCTAAATTCTGGCACTACATTTCTCAGTTAGCATGATCATCTCATGTTCTTCCGACTTGCATTTATTTGACAGGATTTCCTTTAGAAACTTTGCATAGCTGGGCATCATGAGCTTCTTGAATACTTCGAAAAATTTCGTGTACTGCTGCTCCATTTTATGCTTCTTCAACCTCTGGGGAAATAGAATTGGAGGCTCATATGGATTTACTGTAGCTGCGGTCTTATCCCATGATTTCTTTGAACTTTCCTTTGGAGTTGATTCTTTAGGTTGTTCATCCTGCTCTATCGTCTCATCTTCTATGGGAGGGGATGTTTCTTGATTTACACCTAGCCTCTTGACATGTATTTCAGGTAGTTGCACCCCACTTGGAGTTGTAATTGCCTTAGCATGCTCCTTTGGGTTGATTTTCGTATTACTTGGCAAACTACCTGGTGCTCTGCCAGTGAAAGCAACTACCATATTTTCCATTTGAGTCTCCAGATTTTTTTTGCGGTATTTTGATATTGAAGAGTGGCTTCGATTTTTTTTCATGAACTGATTAGTCTTTTCCATGAATTTTCTGAACATCTTTTCCAGTTGAGGGTTCTTCTCTTACTGTTGGAATTGACCCTGTGGCCTGTTCTGATATTATTTAATCCATGAGAAATTTGGGTATTTTTTCTAGCTTGGATTGTATGTCTCCCCATATAGATTATTTTGTTGACGTTGTCCTCATTGTGCAGTCTGCTTGCTCAATTCTTTGTACTAATATTGGAGACTCTACTGTGACATGTTTAGCTCCACATTTCCCACAATTGTCCTTCTTAGTTTGTGTGGCATGTGCTGATTATGACATATTTTCTACTTTATGAAACAACGGGTTAATCCTTGCTTATAAGGCTGAAAATGCATCTTCCTTATAAACTCCTAGTGTCTTCTTTTGTATAGCCCATTTTGATGTCCACTTAGCAGATGTAGTAGACATAGTCTCGAATAACTTGTGTACCTCATCAATGGTTTTAGTGGATAGTGACCCGTTAGATGAAGAGTCAACCATGTTTTTGAAACTCGAAAGTAGTCCCGCATAGAAGTACTGGGACTGAAGTCCCTTGCTGATCCCACGATGTGGACACTTCCGCAACATTCTTTTAAATCTATTATAGGCTTCATCAAAAGACTCACATTCACCTTGATGGAAGACGGATATGTCATGCTTGAGCTTTACAATCTTGGTGGGCGGGAAGAACTTGGTACAGAATTTCTGTGCTAAATCATTCCATGTAGTAATGCTGGTGATTGGTTGGGAGTGAGCCATTCAATTGCCTTATCCTGCAGTGTATGTGAAAACAACCTCAATTTGATTACATCGTCTGAGATACCCTAATACCTGAAGTGTTGGCATATCCCAAAGAACGGAGAGACATGCGTATGTGGGTTCTCCTCAGCTCTACCATAAAATAAGTACCCATTCTAAAACAGTTGTATCACGTTTGTTTTCAGTTGGAAGTTGGGCTGTCCAAACGGTGGGTAGACTATGCTGGATTGGCTTTGGATTATCTGAGGGGTAAGGAAATCTCCCATGAGTATATTTCCTTCGTCCACCATCCCTTCTTCATTAGTTTGAAAAATGGGATTGTTCTGCACATTAGCCATTGGTTCCTATTTTTGTTGTTGATGCGCCTCTTTGCTTTCTCGTTGCAATCGATGAAAGGTCCGCTCAATTTCCAAATTTGCTGGAATTAATTCTTCTCCAACCAATCTTGACATGCGACTCTGCGAGAAAACCAGCACTCAGAAACAAACAAATTGAATAACTAAACAAAACAAAATAAAATATCCTAAAAATTTGGAAAATAAAAACAAAAATTAAAAATTAAAGTTCAAATT